TTAAGTATGAATGCAATTGTATTTTTCTAAATTTCGCGAGGACGAAGCTCCAAAATTTTGTACATTTTCCTGAAAATACCGCAATTAAGGGTTAAAAGAAAATATAACAATTAAACTGAAAAATTAAGGATATACCCATATTTTTGTTTTGAATAAAAATTGAATTTATATTTATTTGTTCTTTAAAAAATGTAAACAGCTATTATTTTAGAATACACCTTCACATGCTATGAAACAAAAATATGGGGTTTCTATTATTTAAAAAATTTAAAACTCTTTTTATTCGTTCCCCATAATTTTCTAAATATTGACTGCACCAGAAGATGGAAATAGTTTATTACACACCGAGGTGGGAAGAGTTTCATTCCTGTCGTGAGATTAGTTAGATCACCGAGACGCGAAGCGTCGAGGTAAGCTATGATCTCGAGACAGGAATGAAACTTCCTACCGAGGTTTGTATACTATTTTATTTACAACACAACCATCATATTTCGATCAAAGTTAATAAATCTCTGTTTTGTTCTGAACATACCTAAAATATTACATTTAACGACAAATTACCAAGCGCGCGGTTTTCTCTGAATAATCAAGTAGGTAAATATATTGTTACTGTGAACTGCAAACAACTGTCACCAATATAAATAAATGTCAGATAAAGCCGGATATTAAATTCGCGAATAATAAATATGAATAAGTAGTTTGTTGTATTTTAGATCATTGTTGTTTTTTATTGTTTGCCATTAAATAGGTATTATAAAATTTGTCAAACACTGTGTTTTTTTTTTAATATAAAAAATATTCATTTAGAATAGATGAAATGAAGGCGGGAAGTGAGGGCGGGAAGTAGAGGTGTATAATGTGACACTTCCCAACCTTCAATGACGTTAGTAATGACAAAATTACATATATGGTTGTAAATAAAAAAAATTTTCTACACTCACATGGATATTAACTTATCTACGCACAGATTACAAAACGAAAAATTATGCTATATATATTTCATATCCATTCTAGGTAGTGAGAACACTGCAAAAAAATTAAATCCACCAATCACAGTTCATATTTTGATCAACCGACTGCCATTATTTTTAGGATTTTAAATAAGTGACAATTCTGTCAAACTAATTGACAGTATTTTTTTTAGTTATTGAGATTTAACTTATATTAAAATGAGTTATTCTTGTAGAGAATCGATAAATAATAGAATTTATATTTTTATTTCGTCTAGAATTATAAATAATTTGTTAATTTAAATAAAACTATCTAAGGTCAATTTAATTACAAGTATTAAAGCAAAAAAAATAGACGTGTAGATGGTCCTGTGGTCAGGGTTCTTGCCTTCCATACGGAAGACTCGAGTTCAAATCTCAGATAGAGAAAAATTAAATTATTGTTTTTTCTTGTTTATTTTATTTTATAAATTATTAAAAGTCATAAATTATTTTTAAATTAATTATTTTATGTTAATAACCTAAAATAATTTTTAATATTTGTAAATTTTCGTTAATGGGTCGTAGAAAAAATATACTCTATAACTCGAGTGGATTGTCCATATCGCACTTAGACGATTAAGCATTCCGCCTACGGCAATATGGCCATCAATCCACTCTTTTTGCCCAAACTACTATTTCCAAAACATATTATAAAAAATAGAAACTATTTACTGAATAAACCAAGGAACTTTTTATTTATATAATACTATTTTACCATTTTTTAAGCTTACTTTACCTGATGCACTATTTGCAAAATTTGCAAAATTTTCAATACTTGTATTTAATTTTGAACAATGCCCTGTATTATACGATCTTTAATAAAATAAATATTAATAATGAATATTATACATACTAAAATGTGTCAAACTTTCATAGTCAAGTAAATGTGAATGACATATAATATGTTAACTGTTGTGATATGTTTCTTGTTTATTAATCGAGTTTTCATTGTAGGCTCTATTTGGAATTTTCGTTTTTTGGAAAAATAAATGTAGGTGTTTCTTTCGTCCCATTCTCCTAACAGAAATAATATATCTATAATACACAAATAACAAAGTAACTTCCACCTTACTTTATATCGTGGATAGATACACACACACACACACACACACACACACACACACACAAACACACACACACACAAACACACACACACACACAAACACACACACACAAACACACACACACACAAACACACACAAACACACACACACACAAACACACACAGACACACACAGACCCACACAGACACACACAGACACACACAGACACACACACACACACACACACACACACACACACACACACACACACACACACACACACACACACACACACACACACAGACACACACAGACACACGCACACACATACGCCCCCACACAGACACATACACAGACACAGACATCATCGCGAAAATAGTCAAAACGGATTCAGGGGACCCCAAAACGTAACATAAACCAAATTTTGCCAAAAGTTGACTTATGTGGTGTTTGTAATGATCGCTTCAATTGTAATTTTTCTGGAGGTGAAAAATCCCTCACGTTTTAAGTGTGATTTGGCTTTTACTACCGAAACCTGAATCTTGGGGTAAAGTTTTTATCATGCTGTACAAAAGTCTCTATGGACCAAAACAAATTCCCATATGGATCCAACTTTATAGAACACAGCTGTGACACAGTGTATATTCGGGGGTGATTGAAGCCAAACGGTCACTTCCAAAGATGGGTGCATCTAGAGACACTCTCGGCGACGTTATTAGCTGAGAGACTGGCTGTCCATAGAGACCTTTAAGAGACTTGTAAATCAGCAGGCTTCTTGAAGAGCTAAGAGGCAGGTCCTATATGCCCCTGTAAGTTGTGCAATTAGCCTAGTGATGCCTAATGCTGTAGAGTAACCCACCCTCCCCTTCCTTTCAGAAATAGTGTAATATGAATTTGGACCTGAAAAACAAAGCTTTTATTATGCATGTCTACGAGTATTTATAGAGTTTGGTATAATTTTATATGCTTAGTAACAAAAAGAAAATTATTTAACTTACTTACCTAATTGTATAATATTTTTGATAATGATAAAATTATAATTGTAAATAATAAATAGTTATTTCTTTAAATTCAGTATTTAAAATAACATCAGTATCGTTGATCGATAGAATAAATAATATACAGGAAATTTCAATGAAAACTATCTTCCCTGAATAATTTTAATGGTAAGGCTTTTATAAAAAAAAATACAAAAATGAATAAAAAATCACATAAGGGGGATGACTTTTTACGCATGTATACTCGTTGTAACTTTCACCCTCTCCTCCCCATGGCAACTCTCCATTTTTTTCTATTGAATACCCTATATAATAGTATTGCATTTTTTATTCTTCTCTAATAGTCGATTCGAACAATATATATCTGAGACAGTGGCGAGTTGTGGTAATTTAAAATTTGTGAGTTCTTCAAAACTTTGTACAAGCGCCAATATCGCAATTTTTTTTATTTGAGTTTGTATTAGGGGTAGTTATTATTATCAACATCATACTGTTTTCCACCTACAAAATAAAATAATTATTCATTATAAAATTGTACAAAGGTCAAGAAATTATCCTTGTTCAAATAAAACATATAAAATTGTCTTACTTCTCTTCTTGTAGGTACAATAATTTTTGTTGGCTGGCAACTACAATCTAAGATCTGTTTAAAGTATCATTTCCATAAGAGCCTATTATTTGACGGAACCCAGTTATCGCTTAATTTGGATGATTTTTCTATAAAATAAAAGTCAACATAATAAAGTTGATATAATTAAATTTTGTTTCTATGAAATCTCTCCTGATAACATTGCATCCATTTACGCAATTTTTTGTTTTAGACTTGGTTATAAAACACATGAATATTCTGTAGATACTGGAACAAAAAACAAAATATAAATTATAGTCGAAATTTGCAGATATACAATCAATATAACTTCAAAAATAATAGTAATTGTTCTACCTTGGAGACGTGTTTCGTTAACAATCGTTGAATTAGCACACATACTTCCGATTTATTAAAATCGCAGTTTTATACACGATTTTTAAATAAACACAATTCAAATGATCTTTAGAGTTTAACAGCTTGATTGGAAACATCGAGATAGAATGAAGTAAAGACGACAGAAACACTATTTTGCGATATGACAAGTGAACGCACTTTGAGTCGTATTTTGAATAATTTAAAGTTAATAATTTTATATTTAATGATTGACGGAATTAAAATATTTTTATATCATTTAAACCACGCTATTTAAAACAAATGGTATTTAATCTTACCAAAAGTGATTTGCTCAAGTTTGACATATGACGTAAAAGTGTTAATGCAAAAGTACGGATACTTTCAGTATCGTCATAGCATCTCCTCTTTATTCTATATCAATGATTGGAAATATTCGTATGCCCCGCACTACTTTTTGATGTTGATTATGTGCGTTGTACAAAATAACGTGATTTAAGTGATTTTAAGCAGACACACTGTTTTTCACGGATATGTTGACGTGTTGACTTCTCTTTTTAGCTACAGGCATTCGCAAAAACATCTTGCTCCCTCGGACTTACTTATAATAGATAGTGCACCACGGAGACGCGAGTATACCGAGCTTAGTGGCGTACGAGAACAATAAAATGATTAAAACTGAATTTTTATTTTTATGTTATTTATTTTAAAATGTTTTTTTTTAAATATAACTGAGTGTTCACTGCAAAAATTAACTAATGGAGAAACCGCCTCTGATCCGAGGTGTAACGTGAATCATTTGAAAGTTGTTTTTCTGATCTTTCCTTTACGCACTTTCTTTTACTTTTCCCCCCTTTCTTTTTTATTATTTTCTAATGTTTTTCTTTTATATGATTTTTGATCTATTTTTCAATTTTTTTTCATAAAATCCTCACCATTGAAATGATTTAGAGTGGATAGTTTTCAATGAAATTTCCTGTATATGTTAGGCTAAAATTAATATTGAAGGTAAATTAATTATTTTCAGGTTCCATGGCTCATAGAAAAAGAAGAAATAAATTATGGAAAACATTAAATACCAGAAACGCGTCGCAAAATCAAACCGCATCAACGCCTACTATAGTTGTGAAAAGATTTGTGACTTGTTCAGTTCAAACTGATGAAGAAAGTACGAAATTTAGAGTAATTTATAAATTAATTTGTACAGTATATTTTATGAACAACCCACTAAAAAAATTTACGAAAATTTTAAACTTGATATGGCCATTGGGGAAAAAAAAGCTCAGATACGTCGATTTTCTTTTTCAGTTGCGCATTTTTTGGTTTACTTATATTTTTGATGACGTCATCATTGTTCGAGGTATGATGTCACTATCTTTTTTTTTAATGGCAATACCCTATTTTGATTAGTAATACCTTCAAAAAGAACGCATTTTTCTGTACGATGGAAGGGCACACTTAGTATCCACGGACATTCAACGTGAGGGCGGGAATAGTTGATAATACAATTATGGGACCTTTTTTTATTGACGTTTCATTGAACGCTGACAAATATTTGAATTTACTGCAACATCAAATAATTCCCGCACATGCGTTTATGTACCCACATCATCAAAATCCTCACTATGGTACCAGCAAGATGGAGCTCCATCGAATTACGCACGACATGTACGTGAATACAGACGAGGTTTTTTAAAATGGACAGCTAGACCCCCTGATCTAAACCAATAAAATTTTTTTTTGGAGATACCTTAAGACAAAAGTTTACATTAACAGACCTAATACTATTGATGAACTAAAAAAAGAGTTAGCACCGAAATTAATTTAATTTACGCTGATACCCTTACTAATGTTTTGCAAGAGTTTCAACATCGCCTTGCATATTGTCAAGTGGCAAATGGCTTACAATTTGAGCACTTAATTTAATAATTTGTAGGTTAGTCCTGTTGTCATTTTTATAAATTACATTATTAGAATGAAATCTGTTTTATTTCTCGAACATACGGTCATGTAACATAAAAAATATGACATCCATACACAGAAAAATGCGTTCTGTTTAAAGGTATTATCAACATAGGGTACTGTTATTTAAAAAAATTATAATGACGTTATAACCCAAACAGTGATGTCATCAAAAAATGCACAACTGAAAAAGAAAATCGACGTATCTAACCTTTTTTTCTCCAATGGCCATATCAAGCTTTTAACGAATTTGTTCCAACCTTTACGTGTTCATTGTATATCCTCTAATTAAGTACACCTTGTGAAAAAAAAACAACAAATATTGTACAGAACTCCGAGCTACTCCCTTCCCCGCGCCAAATTTTGTTAGCAACATCTACTCCCCCCGAGGGGGAAAATACCTCTTCTGTAATTGGCTTATTTAATCAGCGTTGCCAAGTTTGACAGCGCCAGTTCTGATACTTTCTGGCACATGTCAATTTCTTATTTGTATTTTACGGAAAATATTATTATTTATAATGTTGTAAGGGTTGTAAATGTATATTATCTAAGATTTATTATATCTAATAATATGGTGAAAACATGCTTTATGTGTAAAAGGCCTGTTGAAAATGCTTCTTCAAGATAATATCATAAGTAAGTACAGACACAACCTAATTATCAGAGGCAGTGCATTAGGCAATCACCTTTAATTTGCAATTAAACTTTATTTTCTTTTCGAAAAATTAAAATTAAGAGCAAGTAAACTCTAGCTAAGTTCGTCTTCATCCGTCTCATAATCATTATAGTAAAGGTTAATTACTTATTATTATTATTTTAATATCACATCTTTGTAAAGTTTATTGTTATTTTTTTTAGGTTTCCTTTTCTTGATATGAGAAAGAAATACATGGTTCCAAAATATAGGAATTCAACAAGTGACTACCTGAATAACTTTTTATGCTAATGAAAATTTTTATTACAGACCTCAGGGGAGGAAAATATTAAGGAAAAATGCAATTTCGACGAAAGAAGTATAATAATCAATCCTGTCACTACTTCTACACTATATTCATCTACTACTAAAATACTAAAACAGCAAGTAAGTAGAGAAACTTAAGTTTCTTTCAAAAAGAATGTTTAAGGAAAAAGGCATAGCCATTTTTTAGTTGACACTTTTTTTTAACTAATCTAAAAGACTAATTTTGTGTATTGTTTAAATTTTCATTTTTTGTACTTAATTTGTTTTAGGTTTAAACAAAATGAACTTCTAAGATATGCATGGAATATCCCAAAAGAGCTAAGGAAGGTTTTAAAATTCTTAAGAAAACTATTCAGAGCCAAAAACATAGAATAGTCTTCCTGTCCAAAATATAAATAGGTATAAATATTTAGATATTATGAGTGATTTTTTATTCTATAAATAGAACATAATTTGCTTCTAAATCACTACCTAATGAACTATATTATATAGTACAAAACTAAACAAGAATATCACATTATTCATGTTTTTTTTTAATTTCCCCAAAAAAATGTGAATATTTATTATTGGAGTTTACATCGTTAGGCTAAAACAATACTAGAACAACTTAAATAATGTGGATTTTGACTATTTTGAGTTATGCAGATCATTACGATCTAAAAAAATGTTTGTCTGGTGCTATAGTCAGGTATAAAAACATTCATTTATTTAAACACAGTTGCAATATACATTTTATTTAGTTTTTAAAACATATTAGGACATCCTAAAATGACTTTTTTCGTTTGATGTGAGATTAATTATTCTACATTTTTGTTGGTGAAATAGGATATATTAAGATGTCTTACTGTTTTCTCTGATTATCTAAAAAGTTAGAACAATATACAAAGACTGTTATAACAAAAAAGAGATATACCTTTACTTAAACACACAACTAGTCAGTTCAATTGTACGATAATTTAAAGCAGAAATCCAGAAAACTTTAAAAATGTGTTTAAATGTGTTTTTACAAGGACATAATTATTAAAAAAAACTTGGCACATTAACATTGACGATAGGTTTTTATAATATATATTATACAAATCACAACGAACTACACAAAATGACATTATTAATAATTTAGCAATAAAAAAGTTAAGTACAATCATTATATTAAAAGTTGAGTTTCTCGAAATACTTTTTTTAAATTGTCTCAGTACCTACCTAGTATTTTTCTAGCACAATGATATTATATGAATGTGCATTGTGTGATATCTTATATTTTAGGAATAAAATGATATATTTTTTTGCAGGTTTCCAAGAACTTTCCAAGAACTTTTGAAAATATTATTAAAACGGCCTTTGTAAATATAATTCTCAATTAAGAGCATTTTGATCTAACATTAAATTTTTATTCTCCATAAGGTTACAGCTTCCTAAGAAGAAAGTTTAACAAGACTTACCAGACCCAAAATATCAAAATTTTACCAACTAATTGATGATTCTACTGGTTTCCATAGGAAAATTCTCCTCGAAACTACTAAAAGAAAAGTGGCAGAGGCAACCGAAGAAGGCAAAAAAGTCTTTTGCAAAACAAAAACTAGAAATTTGTTTAAGAATCTAATTATTGTTTGAAGTTTTACCATTAATAATTTTTGATAACGATTTAAGATTATGAAGTTCTATTATGTATTTTACTCTTTGATAACCTATGTTTAAATTTTTATTAGGACCAAAATAAATTATAATTTTCATTTCAACTACAAAAACCCTCATAATATTAAAAAGGGGAAAAACGTTAGATTAGTTATGTTCAGGAATAAACTCTTTAAACATTTATCTACTTAAAATGTGTTACTTTTAGAAGGTATGTTATTAACTTTCTCTTTGTACATATATGTTTTTTTCATTGAAACAAACGTTTATTAGCTTATTAAATATAATGAATTCATGTTGTTTTATTATATGCTTGTATGAATGATTACTTTTATTTCTTTTTAAAAATGAAGTACGAAGATAAAGTCGAAACGGTGAGTGAGAATAAAAAATTAGACGAAAGTGACGATATTTACTGGAGCTTTCATCTGCACTCTCCTTTTTTCTAGCCATCTACACCTGAGCCAGCAAGATTCGTCTTCCCTCCATCCTTACATTCTCCAGATTTACAGAGAAAACGCCGTCCTCTTTAACATATCCAGACCTTCTTTGACGGGGACTATACCACTACTTTAATGTATTTGTAATTGCTCATTCTCACCTTTTTCTCTTTTAGATTCCGTATTCAGTTTTCTTATTTTTAGTTACGTTTGCACTGCTCTTTTATTTTCACAGTTTTTATTCTATAATGCTGTAACGCTACAATATGGATCCATTTTTGTGGTTTATACTATTTAATATTATTCGTAAGTGACCAACCTATTATAATAATTAATAGTATATTATGCAACGATCATGTAATGATGGTTATTAATACACGAGCATTAACCGGGATACGAAACGAGCCAAAGGCGAGTTTCGTATGGTTTATGCGAGTGTTTTAATAACCATTACATGAGAGTTGCATACGCTATTTTTTCTACACCCGATAAATAATCAAGACCTATAAATATTATATTTATATTGGTATTGAACACAATAACAGTAATTACTCGTATTTCTATAAAAATTTCTACAAAATTGTAATTAATGGTAATACTTCAGGTATTGGTATTTCCCTAGATTTTTGCGGTAAAATATTTTGTACTGTATTTTCTGCTTTCTCCGATATGTGTGGAGGAGTCTTCTATATCGCTAATATCAGACATTTTAATATTATAATTATCGAAGTTTAGCTACCTACGAAAATTTAATACGTTTTGACAACTAAAATAATTACATAGGAACCTAGGACAAACGTCAAACAGCATGCTTGATTGAAAAATTGTAGGTTTCTATTGATTAAAAATCTGTATCGTAATGAAAAATCTGTATCATAATGGGTATCATTATGAAACGGATTATGGGCATATAAGTGCATTATTATAATACGGGTGTAGAAAAAGATTATTGTATTACAGGCCTGAAGATGTTCCTGTAAGGCCGAAACTAGTCGCTCCTGTATTTATTTATAATAAAATTGATTTTAAGGTTTTATTCTTCAATTGAAAAAATTAGACCTTTACAGTGACTTTGTTTCATTTCCTGCATTAGACACATATAAGACGGTATTCATTTTAAAAATAGTAAAATTAGCAAATTTTTTAGTTTTTTTACAATTAAAACGTTTGGAC